GTTCTGATACTGGGTGGGTCTATATTTTTGAATCTTTTATATCTTGTCTGTGTGATGTCACAGTTTGTACTTAACTGAGACTCAAGTTCCCGCCTGGCTGGAAAAGCCAAAGATTTACATAGATGATCCCATTCGCTCACCAAAGAGTCCAAATTGATTATTCCTCTTGCGTCCCATAATACTATCTATGGTGTTCATTTAGAAACCAATTCTGTTGCTTTATGGTAACAGGTCTTCTGTTAGTAAATCTTGTTTTCACTTTTTTATTAGGGGAGGTGATGTTCACTGAGCGGCTAATGTGAACCTGCTTCCTTTTTAAAAAAATATATTTTTATTGAGGGGGAGAGATAGAAACATCTTTGATGAGAGAGAATCATTGATCGGCTGTCTCCTGCACATTCCCCACTGGGGATTGAGCCCACAACCAGGGTATGTACCCTGACCGGGAATGGAATGGTGACCTCCTGGTTCATAGGTTGACGCTCAGCCACTGAACCACCCTGGCTGGGCTGAACCTACTTCTTGACTGAGTTTGGGTTCTTGCAGTGGCAGACACCAAATCAAGGACTGTGTGAACTTTGTGTACTGGAAAGTAACCCCAGGAAGCACAAGTGAGGGCATGGGCCAAGGTCAGGCAGGGAAGGAGAAAAACCAATGAGCAAGTCATTAACGAGCAAGTCAGTGCTGTGAGCAATGAGGCTCAACCCTGCTGGGCCTTCTCAGGAAACACATCTCAGAATTGTTCCCTCAGATGATGCAAGGCTGGGGGACATTTATCTATGGACTCATATCTGTTGTTGCTTGAGGAGTGTCCCTGGAGGCCCAATATCCCTCTACTTCTAAGATGACCTTGTTGAAGCTGAGCAAGCTCTTGGATATCAAAAATCACCCTCAGAGAGGCAGAGACAAAGGTGCTTGAGGGAATGACATAGGCTACTCAAGCTGCTAAAACAAAATACCAGACTGGGAGGCTGAACCAGAAATTTACTTTCTCAGAGTTCTGAAGGCTGGAAGTCTAAGATCAAGGTGTGGCAGGATTGGTTTCTCCTGAGGTCTCTTTCCTTGGCTCGCAGACAGCCACCTTCTCTCTGTCCCCACATGGCCTTTCTTCTGTGCAACACATCCCAGGTATCTCTCTCCCTCTTCTTATAAGGACACTGTTCTTATTGGATTAGAGTTCCATCCTCATTTAACCTCATTACCTCTTAGAGGCTCTTTCTTTGAATACAGTCACAGTAGGTGGGGGCAGCAGCAGTGGGGTGATGGGGGCAGTGCCTGAGGGCTCCTGGGCAGTGAAAGGGGGAGGGCTGGGCTGAGGGACATAAAATGGGAATATTTCTTAAATGTGTAAAAATAACTTGCAAATTGTTTTGTGGGTTTGTGCTTAAACATTCCTGGGCAGGGCAGGGAGATTTAAAGGAAATATCAATATAAAATTAATGAAGGAAATATCAATATAAAATTAATAAGGATGCCTCATGACACCTGATTCACCCACTGCTTCTCCTCATCCCCATTTCCCTGTGGAACAGCCAACCTCGCTAACTGTGAGCCCGGTGGGCCAGTGTTCCATTCAAGAAATACTGCAGGCACAGCTTTTCATGGGTTTCTGGTTGGGACCTGAAAAATAAGTTTTGAGCCCAAAATACAAATGAAAAGCCCTTGCAAGACTGAAATTTAATATTTTAACTGCAAAATGTCAATTTCAATGTTGAATTTAACTCTTACCTACTTGATGATTGCCCAGAAATAATCGTTGTTAATCAAATATTTTTAAAATCTTAAAAAGCAAATAATTCCATTTCCTTCCCTAACTAGAATTATATTTGCTGCAGAATATGGGTGTGTTCTGGTGCTTCATGTGATAGGAGGTGGGGCTTCCAAAGGCTTAAGCACCGAGGGCTGAGGAAGCCCCTGAAACCTGCCCCAGGGGAGGACTTTAAGGGGCTCCTGGAAGTGTCATCTCCTCACAGTGCTCTCACAACTGCTCACAATTCACCACAAAGGCCCGATGCTCCAGTGTAGACACTGCAGAGAGATATGTCACGCCCGCCCTGGTGCCTGAGCTCACACTTTAGTGTGCAGCAGAATCACTTGTAAATCTCTTTTTAAAATGCATATTTTGGGGTCCCCAAACCAGAATTTATGATTCAGCAGGTCTAGTGAGGAGCTCAGGAGTCTGCACTTGGACAGTTCAGATCTTCCACGGGCCACACTTTGGAAATACTCTTAGCACAGTGGGTTTTCAGAGGAAGGAGAGAGGAGAGGGGGCGGCTGAGTAATGCACCTAGACAAAGGAAGGGTAGCTGCCAATTTTGATAGTGATCTGTCTGGTGTAGGGTCTTCCTAGCCATGACATCAGAAGGTTCAGGTGTGGCCTGAAAACCTCTGTGTCTGTCACAGATTTCTTGGTCTCAAATGTAATAAGGTGTTTTTAATGTAAAAATGGCATGCTCATATTCCTCATTCATAGAAGAGCATTTTCTTCAAACAAAAGCTTCCTGTTTCAAGTTTCACTCAAGTTTCCAAAACCAGTATTGCAGAAGCAAGAGGAAAAGTGTCCAGGGGTGCCATGTTTATGACGGGACAACAGAGTCCTGAAAGGGTTACATCATCTGCTCACAGCGACACAGCTAGTTGATGGCAAACCTGGGACTAGCGCCCTTTGTGTTCCCATTTGCGCTTTTCCGAATCCTCTTTGGGAAGCAAAACTGTTGCCTTGGCCGTGCCATTTCCGACTGGCTGCCACTGAGCACTGGCAGGCTTTCTCTCCAGGCCTTTGGGAGGAATGTAGTGTGGTAGTCAGGAGCACAGGCTTCAGAACCATACAGGTCCAGGCCCACGTGCTGGCTCCATGGTGGCAGATGCCTTCACTTCTCTGAACTCCCGGACAGCAGGGGCACAGGAAGAGCTACTCCATCGGGCTGCTTGACAGTTCTCTCCCGTAAAGTTCATCAGTCATTCGCTCCATTTGTTTATATTTTCCAGGGCCCAGGCCAGCCATGGGAATGGTGTCTTGGCCAGGTGAGCAGGAGTGAGCACCTGTTTCACTGGCCTTCCAGCTCCTATACTGCTGGGTTGATGACTGCTGGGATGAGCTCAGCAAGGCTCCCTGAGAAGTAAAGGGTGTCCCAAAATTCATGCAAGATTTGAATTTTGTGTGAGCATTAACAATAACAACAACAACAAAATAAAAGCCTAATTTTACTTGGTTTATTGAATCAGGTTCTAATATCTGTTGCCCTTTGATTTCAATCCCTTCAATTTGATAAGCATTACCAAGTACCAATTATGGCCCAGGAGCAGGGACAATGAAGACCACGGCTTTGCGTATGTACCAGCAAAGCTGTGGAGGCCATTTACCTGATGTGCTATTCCATACATAACCCTATACTGTATACTTTATGAATCAATAAAAAATTTACAATTTTTAATTATAAACCTGTGTTTTCTATCAAAATTACTTCTTGCGTGAATTTTGGGACACCCTTTAAAATGACACAGGGAAAGACAAATATACTAGACTTTCCAGAGGCAATCATGACACATTAGCAAAAATGTTCATTCTATGTCCCAGTGGAAGGAAGCAGATACATATTAACCCAAAATTTCTATTAGCCTTGGGGTTAATTATATGACATCAGAAGGTAGGTAGCAGACCTTCATTCTGGATTATTTATGCACAAGAGACTATTGAGATTTATAGCTAGTCTCTAAGGGCACATCAGTTCATAGGCTGGGAAGGCAGCCCAGAGGCCCCAGGATTTCATGGTTTGAGGGAATCGTGTGACTCACACAGACACTGGAAAGTTAATCTTTGCTTTTCATTTGCCAAATGTGTGAGGCAGCTCTGTTACTTTCTCCAAAGTCCAGAGAGTTTATAACACCTTCTCTATGCTGTGTGATCTGGCACTGCCAAACAGTGACTACCACAGCAGGCCCTGGAGAGAGGGTGCAGTAGGGACCTCACTGACAGCACTGTTCTGGCAGCTCCATCCTTCACCACCTACTTTAGAACTGCAGCCAGCTCTTTATTACTTTTGTAGAAAAACTCCATTAGTGGTCTGCCAATAACTCCAATCCGATGTCCCCTGCGCACTGGCAGAGTTCTGTAGCAAGGAGTGCCTGGTCTGTTATTTTGGTTGGAGAGCTGCCATGGAGCAGGAAAGTCACTTCTTCGGGCTGGCCTCCCCATGAGGCAGTGTGGCCAGGAGAAAGCATCCATGGCTTCCCCAGGCAGATAGAGTTTGGAACCTTCACTGTACTCAGTGTCAGCTGTTTGATCTGGGACCAAGTGGGCCTCAGCTACTCACATGTGAGATGGAGATCACTGTGGGTCCTGCTCCCTGGGTGTGGCGAGGACTGAAGGAGAATGTAGCAGGTCAGGTGTCCAGCAGATGGTAGCTCTAATGATCTTTCCGCTCAGGAGGGGCACTCTTAGAACAAGCTCTTCCTTTCCAAGAAAAAACTCTTTTATTAACCTTTCTAAACTTGTTTTTAAAAAAAACCTACACAAAAACATGCCAATCTGAATAGAAACCTGTGAAACCACTAGGGGACATCATACCAAGAAATGCTTGCCCTGAGAACCACTGGTTAGAGCCACATGTTTCTGTCTTTGGTTGGTACTAACCACATTTAGGACCCCTTTCTACTCTACGTAAGATAAGCTGGGCAAGCCTGAGGACAGGAGATTTAGAACATTTCTTGGGCCAGACTGAACCAGAAGCCAGAAAGTAGCATGTTTAGGTCCTAAGCCAAGCCCTTGCTCAGCTGGGGAATCAACTGCCTGATGCTACTGTGGATTCTCACCAGAAGCTGAGCAGAGTTTGGAAGCATGTCCAGAGCAGGTGATTTTTAGTGGGTAGGACGTGTGTTCTGCATCCTTCCCACCTATCCTGATGCTTTTATCCTCAGGTTGTGCCCAGGGTCCCGGTTTCACAGTAGCTCCAATGGCCAGGACATTCACTACAAAAACATCAGGCACCTACTCTGTGTCCGTAGCACAGGCATACAAAGAATGAATTCATTTATTTTTTTCCTCAAACAGCTTACATTCTGGATAAGAAGATAAAATACCAGTCTCTCTAAATACTTAATATTTTAAAGTCACATAAGATTATTCCAAAGCCATAGGCATGATTCTTTCTCAATAGAACCAAGATGTGCAATGTGGAAACTACCTCATGGAGATTGGAAATGGTTCGTGTGTCTGGGCAACCAGAACTACCTCCACCGTACGGGACATTTCTGGTAACAGAAGCAGATTGGCATCCTTTCATGCTTCATTTTATCGCCACCTTCTCCCATGTCAGGGTGGTCCCACACTTAAGGTCCTGTGATGAAGTTTATCAAAATCCAGGCTTATTACCACGGCTGACCCAGCATAGGTGCTCACTACCCTTAAGTTAGCATCTCCTTTGAATCTCGGTTTCATCCTTTTCCCAGGAACCATGGCTTTGAATACAGACCCCATGCAGTGGGACCATGACTAATGTACAGAAGCAGTCTGTCTGCTGTTCCTGTCATGAGGCAGCAGTGGTGGTTGGGGGTGGGGGGGCAGGGAGCATCCTGAGTGCTGCTCACTGGGTCACACTCCCTCCATCCCTCTGTTAAGGCCGGCTCAGTGTGACCAGACGGGTTTTCTCTTCTGGATGAAGGCCTTGATTCCCTCCTGCCCATCTTGCAGGGCCACATTGTCCACCATGGTCTGGGAGGCCAGGTGGTAGGCCGTTCTAAGGTCCTGGTGCACTTGCTTGTAGAAGGCAGCCTTGCCCAAAGACACCACAGGACGGCTCAAGGAGGCGATCTTCCTTGCGATTCTCATGGTCTCTTCCTCCAGCTGCTCTTCCGGCACCACTCTACTGAGCATCCCATGGAGCAAGGCCTCCTGAGCAGATATGGGTTCCCCGGTAAAAAGCATTTCTAAGGCGACCTGGAGGAGGAAACACGGGCAGTTATTAAGGCACTCTCCTCCTGACCCCTGCCACCTAAGTCCCACCCTCTCCATTTCACTCTGCGGAGATGGTTGGTGTCCTGACTTCCTGACAACCTGGGCCAGTTCTCAGAAACAGACTGGATCTTTCCAGGAGCAAGGAGAAGGAGGGACTCTCCGTGTCGTCCTGTTCCTTCCCCAAGCTGAACTCCCAGCCCTGCAGAGGCAGGAGATTTGAGCTCAGGACAGCGGCCACATCTGATGGGATGAAACTAAAAACACCGCAGAGCGAGGCCCATCGCCTCGCTCAAGCCAGTGCAGTGGTTACTTTCCAGAAGAAAGGGATGTTCAGAGAAGCCACCACCTCAGCCTGAGTTGAAAGAGCAGCCTCGTCTCCCAGAGGAGGAGGGGAATGAAAGGAACGCCTTCTAGGGACCGATGGAGGGGTCCAGCAGGACGTTAACTTATGAGGAGAGAATGCCCTCTTTCCACAACCCTCTCCCCCCAGATTTCCGAGGCCCGCAGAAAGGGGGAGTGCACCTTTCTCACTCTACAGTTTCCTCAGTTCTGTCCGCCTGCCATACTGTGCCCCAATTCTGTAATTCTACAAAGCTGAGCTTTTTGAAACTAAAATGTGATTTAGAAAAAGGGTTCCCAGATGCACAAGAAACACAGTGCCTCTCCTCTTCCTCTCCCGAGGCCCAGCTGGCATCTTTGCTGTTCCTTGAACACACCAAGTGTGCTATCACCTCAGTCCTATACTTGCTGTTCCCTTGGACTGCAATGCTGTGTCCCCAGATAGCCTCACAGCCTGTTCCCTCATCTCCTTTAGGTCTCTGCTCACATGTCACCTCATCAGTGAGGTACTCTATGACAAGACCAGCCTATTACAATTGTGATCCAACCTCAGCACTACCCCATTTCTGGCTCTATGTTAATCCTTTGTACTTTCATCATTTAACAAACCATATACTGTACATGTTTATTTGTTTACTAGAGGCCATATGCACGAAATTCGTGCAAGGGGCTTGGCCCTCACAGCCCCAGCTTCATCTGGAAGGTCATCTGGGAGGACGTCCAGAAGGTCGTTCGGCTCTCTGGTCTAATTAGCATATTATGCTTTTATTATTATAGATTAGATTATCTCCTTTGCTGGCATGTAAATTTGACTAGGGCGGAAATTATTTTGTTGTTGTTGTTAATCCTATCCTGAGGATTAATTTTCCATTGCTTTTATTTATTTACTAGAGGCCTGGTGCACGGATCTGTGCACCAGTGGGGTCCCTCGGCCTGGCCTGTGGGGATCAGGCTGAAACTGGCTCTCCAACATCTCCCAAGGGGTCCCAGATTGCGAGAGGGTGCAGGCCACTCTGAGGGACCCCACCTGTGCACGATTGGGGCCGGGGAGGGACCGTGGGAGGGCTCCAGGGAGTGTCTGGCCCATCTTGCCCAATCCCTATTGGCTGGACCCCAGCAGCAAGCTAACCTACCAGAGCGTCTGCCCCCTGGTGGTCAGTGCATGTCATAGCGACTGGTTGAACGATGGAATGAATGGTTGGACACTTAGCATATTAGGCTTTTATTATTTATTTATTTTTTTTAAGAAAGGGGCTTGCTTGGTCTCACTTTATCATGCTCTCAGGCTAACCTTGACTGAGGTTGGTGTTCTGTTTTAAATCCTCACCTGAGGATATTTTTCCATTGATTTTTAGAGATAGTGGAAGAAAGATGGAAAGACAGAGAAAAATGTGAAAGAAATACATCGATTGGTTGCTCCCTGCATGAGTTCTGATCAGGGCCCGGGCCAGGGAGGTGCATGCAACCGAGGTACGTGCCCTTGACAAGAATCAAACCTGGAATACTTTGGTCTGCAGGCTGACGCTCTATCCACTGAGCCAAACTGGCTAGGGCTATTTTTCTTTTAGCTAGAGCGGAAGGTGGTGGGAGCAGGGGCGGCAGCAGGACAACACATTGATGTGAGAAAGACACATCCATTGGTCGCCTCCGACCGGGGTTGGGTAATGAACCTGCAACCCAGGTACGTGCCCTGGACTGGGAATCGAACCCATGACTCTTTGGTGCATGGGTCGACATCTAACCACTGGGAAACACTGGCCAGGGCGAGTTTTCTCTTTAGTGTTCTGTTCATTTCTGTGTCTCCAGCATCAGAAGACTGCCTTGCATGTGGCAGACAACCTATTAAATAGTCATCAATGAATGATTTAATGAATGAACGGATGAAGGCAAACAGTACAGCCAAAGTGGTACTATAGTTCTTTAAAGGCTAGGTCAAAAGGGGATACAGCTTCCATCTGGCTCTTTCCCTTGGCAATGCAGACGGAGAACCCAGCTGCCTTGCTCTGAGGAAGCCCAAGCTACACCGCCCAGAGGCTGCACTAAGTGCCTCTGAGTCCCCGCTGAGAGGCAGCCTCAGCAGCCAGCGTGAGTGAACATGCCTTACACTGACGGTCTCCAGCTGTCACTCCCCCACCTTGAAGTCTCCTAGCTGAGGCCACAGACACTGTGAAGCAGAGATCAGCTTTCCTCACTGACCTCGAGCCCTGTCCGAATTGCAGATTCATGAGCTAAACAAATTGCTGTTGTTCTGCGTCACTAAGAATAGTGGTTACGCAGTGAGAGATAATGGGAACAGTTTATACTATATATAAGACAGCGCATCAGCACACGCTACTTACTGTTTAAGTTTCTATGTAGTGGGCCCTGGAAACTTCCGGTGAGAGAGCATTTAGATCTAGCTTCTCAGTCTCAGTGCCATTGTATCTTTTGGACCAGATAATGTTTTGTTGTGTGGTTTTGTCCTGCGCAGGGTAGCATCCCTGGCCTCTGTCCACTGGGTGCCAGGAGTATCCCCCACTCCCAATTTGTGATGATCAGAAATAGCTGCAGGCATTGCCAAATGTCCCTGGGGCCAAAATTGCTCTTACTTTATTTTATTTATTTACTTTTTAATTGATTTTAGAGAGAGGGAGAGAGAGAAACATTGATGTGAGGAAAACATTGTTTGGTTGTCTCCCGACCGGGGATCGAACCTGGGGATGTGCCCTGACTGGGAATGAATCTGCCACCTTCTGATGCACAGGATGACACCCTAACTGGACCACACCGGCCAGGGCAGCCCCCAGTTTAGAACCACTGATTTAGATGGTTTTAAAATCATGAGACTAGATTATGCTTCTGCTACCCTGACACTTCTCTGTCCAGGAGACCAAGGAGGTCTTAACGGGTTTAAAGCTGCTCGTGAAAAACATTTTGACTGGAATAGGGTCAGGGCTAGAGGCCTGGACAGAGTTCCTGGCCTACCTTTAGCTTCCTAAGTCACACGCCTAGCTTATGCCTCTTTCTGGGCCTCAGTTTCCTCACCTGCCTAGTGGGGTAATACCGTTTGGCACCGTGTTGATTTACGGGGACTTTACCCAGGCAGATTAGGTAATGGAGTGGCATTCCCTAAGAAAAAGAAAGCCTGTTTATTTTATAGTGCACAAGCAACAATCTTTATTTACTGTTTACTATCCAGTAGGCCCCTGAAACTTCAGGTGAGAGAGAAGAAAATAACACCTTTTTCCTAATAAACTCTTGTTCGTTTTAGGGGTACTTTTTGGGGCCCCCTAACAAGTTGGTGATTTACTACTTCCTCCTCCTGGGCTATTTGCATTTAAAACAATTAAAAGGACTGGAGGCCAATACTCACTCCTAGGGTGGTGGGGCTTGTGTCTGGATGTCCCTGAGGCCACTTAGTAACCACAGATCTTAAGGGAACAATTCAACCCATCTGAGTCTGTTTCCTTATCTGAAAAACAGGAATAAGAACACCATCTCCTGCAGAATGGTCAAGATGAGAGACAATGTATACAGCTTATACTACAGCGCTGGGCACTCAGTAGCACTAATAAGTGTAGTGGCTATGATTCACATGCTTATTCCAGCTATGAACATGTATGAATCTCTAATGCTGTGTTTTAGGGCTCATGGCCCCAGAAAGCAGAGCAGTCTTCCAGATCCCCTCTAGTCACACCGATGACAAGAACCAGCTGGTGGCAGTGGAGGGGCTGGGATGCTGGAGGACTCAGAGGGGAATAAAGCTGACAGGATCACCGGGCTAATTTAATTGGCTGGGCAACCTGAGAAATAAGTAAATTAAGAAGCATGTTCTCAAAGGCACTAAGGCACCTCTGACAGCCACAGGAATGCAGTCCATCTGAGGGGCCTAGACCTGCATTTCTCCAGGCTCTGGTGAACTGCACACCAGCTGAGGGTCAATGCCTTAACTCTCCTTCCAGCTTGGAAATTCTACTCTGTTCTAATGAGACAACTGAGAAATCAGATTCTACAGACACACACGTTACCGTGGGTAAACAGATGGCAGCAAGTGTTCCTACTGCAGAGAAATGACTGGCTTGGAAGGAGGGGGTTCGGATCTTTCATGTGCTCCACAGGGGTGCCACCCGCTGAGGCACCGGCTCCACATTTCTGAACAAGGCCAGCTCAGATAGGCAAAGGGAGCAGCTGCACCAGGCAGGTTGTTTATATGGTGCAATGAAGACACATTATTTAACTCACACCAGAGGAGAGAAACACTTTACAATCGTGGAAAATTATTCATGCCCAGGCTCAGTCTGGCTTGAACACAAGGGATCCATGCCATCATTTCTGCTCCCAGTGGACCAGCTGCAGCCCTGGTCTCTGGCACAGCTAAGCAGTTTTCCTTGGTGACCAGCAGAGGGTACTGGTGACCCATATGTGTGGCCTTAAGCTGCCTGAAAAAGGCCACGTTTCCCAATTAGGTCAGTTTGCAAAAGCACCTGCTTGCTTCCCTGTGGATGTGCATGGGGATACGTGCCCAACACCCACACAGTTTACAGGACTGTGTGTGAATGTGTTCCTGTGGGTGCAATCAAGCAATGACAACAGGTAGGTGTGTTTTGTTCAGGTTTAGATCTTTATGAATCCCCAGGTTTCCTCCTAAAGGGGGCCACCCAGGTAAGATCTGCAGTCCTGAAACCTGGCAAAGGCCTTGAGTGCCAACAGGCTTTTCACCCCACTAAATTCCCTTTATCAGTACTGTGATTTCAGCTCATTAATACTGACCCGAAACCATATCTCTGCCTTATGCCTCCAAGTAGCCCCACATGCAGGGACATCTGTTACAACTGGAAAAAACTCTGAAGACTTAAAAACAAGAATGCTACCCCTGCCTAGTGATTCACAGGCCTCCTGGGATCAGGACAGGAGCAGCACAGAGCAGGGATCCGAATGGGACAATACTGGAGATCCTCTCCCGTCTTCTGAGTGGGCCTGGCACTGCCAGAACTTTCTGTGGGAGGACAAAGTACTTTGGTCTTACAACACCCTGCCCCTTAATCTCTCATGCTGGACAATTATGCAACGTGGTTCTGAGAATTGGGCTTTGTGGGAACTGAAGTCCTGTTTTTGCCACATTTTCCTTCTCTTTCAAAAACTAATTTAAATTTGACAAATATGATATAATGTTTACGTTTTTAGGACTCAATTATAAGCCTTGATTTTTAAAAGTTTGTTTTAAGAGAGAATGGATTCTTATCCTGACAGGACAATCATGATTTAAAGGTTGCAAATGCCTTAACATGGTTGAAGATGAACAGTTGCAGATAGGCTAACCAGACAACCACCCTTTAGTATGCAAAAGGCCTGTGAGTTGATTTGCACAATTATAAGATAGTTCATTAATAAGCTCTGACAATGTTTTTAATGAATGCATTTTAATTTAATGTACTGGCACAAAGTAGGGAACACACACACACACACACACACACACACACTCACCTCACATTTAAAGTCAATGTGTATCCTGACAGGATGAAACCACCTGCCTGGGCTGAGCACATTTCAGCAAGCTCTGTGTTTGGACAGGCCACTTATTGTAGTTGTGGAGCCCATGTTCAGCCAGTTTTCATGTGTGTGTGTGCTGGTAGGTATCTCTATTCAGAACATCTGCAAAAGCACACACCTCTGTAAAAAAACTAATGAGGAAGCAGCGTGAAAGAAAGGAGTGCTTCCCTAAATGTCTCCATCCCTGTGGCTTAATTTCGCTTGGGTCTCATTTCTTTTGTGCCTCAGGCATATGAAGAACTGCTGACTTTGTAGATGCTAAATGGACATGATATCCTAGAAAGCAATTTAGTTTCCTACTTGCTATACGACAATGTATACAACACCTATGATATGACACCTCCCCCCCCACCATTTTTAAAAACAAAATTTCCAATTGAGAATGAAGATATATATATTTTTTAGAACAAGAAAGCCACTGGTTTCTACTCACAAGATGTTCAATAAATATTGTTTTATGTCTTATAGGAAGGGAGAAAGCTTTGTAAAGAAAATGGATTTAGCAAGGACAAAACAACGTTTACATATGGCTCCTGGGGCAGCTTCAACATGCCGAGCTCAAGAAGTTCCATGCTCGCTGAAACCGGTTTGGCTCAGTGGATAGAGCGTTGGCCTGGGGACTGAAAGGTCCCAGGTTCGATTCCGGTCAAGGGCATGTACCGTGGTTGCGGGCACATCCCCAGTAGGAGATGTGCAGGAGGCAGCTGATCGATGTTTCTCTCTCATCGATGTTTCTAACTCTCTATCTCTCTCCCTTCCTCTCTGTAAAAAATCAATAAAATATATGAAAAAAAAAAAAAGAAGTTCCATGCTCCTGAAATACAACCATCGTATAGCTGACACACTCAATGTAGCAGCTACTTCAGTCCTTTCTAGAATACGACAGGCTGTCAGCAAACAATCAGCCAGCGACATTCATATCCTAGCCTCTTGGTACTGGCATGTCACCATGCTATTACATGTTATGGACACCTTTTGAGTGCAACAAAACTGTCTCAACTGCATTTCAAATAAGATTACAAAAAATGTGAGCCTTCATGAAAACAAACAAAAAAATCCAAAAACCAAACTAGCTACATAGAGGGGCAGGCAACAGCGAAATGCATGATTCACGAAGTGAAGTGCCCTGTGAGAAGCTGCGCATTCCCCGCTGGACAAGAGGCGTTAGAAGGAACACTGCAGCACATCCAGCCAGCTATGCTTCGTGCAGAACATCCTGATTCAAACGGTACTTTAACAAGCGAATTTGGAACCAACCTTCCAGTGCGTGAGGGTTACAACTAGAGAGGAGACTGCAGGGGGTCACATTACCTTTCTTGGCACTGCTCTCCCCAAGGCCACCCCAGGGGTGGAGCAGAAGAGCCCGAGGTTCACACCTGGAGTGGCAAATGAGGATTTGTCACTGGCCACGGCAATGTCACAGCTGGCAACCAGCTGACAGCCAGCGGCGGTGGCCAAGCCGTTCACCATGGCAATCACGGGGACGGGATGATTCTGGATCAGCATCATGACCTGAAGGAGCAAACATAACCAGTTCACATCCATCCAAGAGTGAGGTGCAACGTTCATGTTTATTTCATATGATTTTACTGCTTTCAGAGCACTTTTCATCCCCATAGTGTATCAGATTCTATGGAAAAAGGACAGAAGCAGGCACAAAGAGAACTTGCATTGAATATTGACTGTGGACCAGACCGTGCCATTTGACTCCTGAAAAGCCCAGGAGGAAGGAACACTATGTTACAACCGAGACACAAGGCTCAGGGGGAAGGAACTGGCCTAAGGCCACAAGATCCACAAGTGCTGGCTGTGGGGTCTGAACGCACATCTGTCTGACTCCCAGCCCCTGGCCTCTTCGAGGCTGCAATCCCCTCCTCTCCGACTGCTTCCTCAGCAGCCCCACAAAAGAACAAAGCTGATTCTCTCTCTGCAGAATGGTTCTGTTCTCACTGAGCCTGTGTGGAGCTCTAGTGTTAAAGGTCTGAAACTGGTACAGTGGGGCCTTGACTTACAAGTGTCCCGACTAACGAGTTTTTTGAGATACCAGCTGTCTGTCTCTCGGCCGATTTTTTGCATTGAGTTGACAGAGTAATTTGAGTTAACGAGCTCCTTAACAAGCTCGGTCTCAGAACGAATTAAACTCGTAAGTCAAGGCCCCACTGTATTTGGAATTTCCTTGAAAAATTAAGATGGAAAAGGGACTGAAAGGCAATTTCTCTGGTAATTCTCAAATTACCACCATTAATATTCTCTCAATTCTATTAAAATGGCAGGGAACACCCTGTCATCTAAATAAATAAAAGCCCAGCCAGTGTGGCTCAGTGGTTGAGTGTCCACCTATGAACCAGGAGGTCACGGTTGGATTCCCGATCAGAGTACATGCCTGGGTTGTGGGCTCGATCCACAGTGTGGAGCATGCAGGAGGCAGCCAATAATTCACCCTGATCATTGATGTTATCTCTCTCTCCCTCTCCCTTCCTCTCTGAAATCAATAAAAACCTATTTAAAAAAATAATAATCTGTAATAATAAAAGCATAATATGCTAATTAGACCAGACGTCCTTCGGGACGGCCTTCTGGACAAAGCCGGGGCTGCGAGGGAAGCCCAGGTCCCAGATGCCTGCCAGCGGCCAGAGGGAAGCCCGGGTCCCTGGTGCCAGAGGGAAGCTGGTGTTGGCAGGCAGGAGAAGGAAGGCCTACTCTTGCACGAATTTCGTGCATGGAGCCTCTAGTAATAAATAAAATTCCTAAAACAGTGCTATTCGTAGAGAGCAGCCAAAAACTTGCTCTTGTGATACCCAGTTCCCCTCATAAGTCTCCAGAATTTTAAAATGGTTACTGTTATTCCATTTATGAATGTTCTCTCTTTCCCATTAACAGAACTGTTTTAGTTAAAAAATTAAATTATAATCTTAGGTTCTTTCTCTATAAAGATGTACATTTCTACCCTTTACCTCTTAAGACATATATTCCAAGACATACCCATGATGCTGGAGATGGCAGCTATCAATACCAACATATATTTCCCTATCTTTGGCATATCACATATCAATAGCAAACTATGGTTGCTTTTTAAAAGACTAAACCAAATTGTTGCTTGGATGAAGGACTCACCAATGGCCACAGAGGTTTTAGTAGTTCTGCAGTGGTTAGGTCTCAGATAAAACCTTTCCTGTAAACTAGAAGCCTAATCCAATATTTAATGTGTGTAATTATCATTTTCAGGTTTGCATTGCAAGTTGTCCTCCTGGCTTACCTCAGAACAAGTTTGAAATACTTCAGTGTGATATTCTGGACCTTGCTCATCCGTCAGTTCCTTTAAATCATGCCCGGAAGAAAATACAGGTCCCTCAGCTGCAAATGGTTCCAATTGAGAAAATAAAATAAAAAGGTATAAACAGCAGAACTGGGGAGGTCATTTATTTGTCAATTAAATAATTTTAATGAACAATTGTATCACTGCTGTGGACACAAAGTTAATGGCCCAATTTGGTAAGAATAATTCCAGTTAACTGGAAAAGTTGTAGCCAGTATTTTGTGATGACAATTCAACGGGAGGCATTTATACTCTAAAAGGTCCGTGGTGGAAACCAATGAACACGTGCAATTACACATGCAGTAACCAAAGCAGATGGACGACTTCTTTCAGAGTTGTCCCTCCAGTCTCACAGTTTTGTTTTTGGACTTGATCTGGCCTAAATTTTTGACTCATGTAGGTCCATCAATATCCTCTGTGCCTTCTGCAGCAACCCTGTCATTTAGTCGACAGACAATGGCCATCTGTGCAGGCTGCAATCAGGAAGGTCAGAGGGTGAAGAAAACCTCTTTATTTTTAAAAAATATATATATTTTTATTGATTAAAGAGAGAAAAGGAAAGGGAGAGAGATAGAAACACCAATGATGAAAGAGAATCATTGCTCAGCTGCCTCCTGCACACCCCCTTCTGGGGATTGGACATAAAACCTTGGCACGTGCCCTTGACCAGAATGGAACCCGGGACCCTTCAGTCCGCAGGCCGACGCTCTATCCACTGAGCCAAACCAGCTAATGCAAGAACCTCTTTATTTTTAACATGGGACCTAAGGATGTGGTTTTACTGTTATTGTTAAGATTAATAACAACAAAATGCAATTCCACTGATAAGCTGGTAACACTTTCTCATATTTTCCTTTTGTTGTGACTCTTTTGATGGGCAATATTATTTCCTTTAAACAAGTGAGGGAACTGTGTTGTCTGGAAGTTAACTGTCTTTGCTGCATCTGGGTAACATCCCCGTGGCTGATGAACGATATCTGTCCTCTTTCTTTTCAACAGTTGAAAAGTTATATTCAACCATAGATAAGGTAACGTTCTGAGTATCTGCCTCCAGAAATACTAACCCTTAATTTCTGTAACAACAAAAGTACATCACAGGGTATCATCCATTTTATTTTTCTATGGATGCTTTAAAATGCTGACACTTATATTACTTAGACCATCACCATCATCACTAGATAATTCATTAACAACTTTTACTGGAGAAGAGCAAGGAAAGAAATGAGCAAACTGAAGAAGATTGCAGATACTGGTTGAAAGTTTGGTAGGAACAGATAAACCAATCAAATGCTTGAGCAGCCTGGTCCCATCGACTTGCTAGGCTACCCAAAGGATCAGTGATTAAACTCATCTTATCCGGTCCATGAGGAAAACAATTATCTGATTTCAATGGGAATGCTATGTATCTGACAAAAAGGAAAGACATTTTCCCTGCACAGTAGTCTTTGCTATAATTTCCAGTTAACAGTGTTAGGGAAAAACAATGTCAACAACGAAAAAAAGTAAGTGTTAGGACCAAGCCCTCCAAATACACAATGGTTTTTCATAATGAATGTTCTTGTAAAGGAGCTTCCAAACAATCCTCCCATTAACTGAGGGACTGCCCCGGTCAACAAAAGAATTTTGAGAGAAGTCTTCAGCACCCTGAGGATGGTTATCAGAGAAGTACCTGAAATAATAATGACTTTCAGATCTGTGCTTTCAGCTTCATGAAGAATGTCCCTTTGGAGAGATTTCAGCATTGCCAGTGACAGCGCATTCCTCCTCTTTGGATTGCTCAAGACAATGTTCCTGCGAAGAACATTTGATAATTACTGGGTCGTGCACCAGTCAAAACAAGTGAGGACCCCTGCATTTCCTTCTAATTTGGGGGTTATTTTTAAAACACCAGAAAAGAGAACTGCTGGTACTTAGAGGCAACTGAGATTGTCTGTCAACTCTCCGGAGTTACGGCTAAGTCAAAACAAGGAGACGTCCGGAAATGCAGGCTGCGTTTTCTCCCTCTTCCCTTGATTTGTTTCTTTTTCAGATCTGCTGTCAGAAACATTGCTGTCAACACCAAAAGGGCAAATCAGAGTTGTTCCAAAATCATTGCCGCCCATACCTAGAGGCTGCGCAGTTTGTAAGATGGCGGCAGGAGCCAGAGGGATCTGACACACGGTGCCACCTTCAACTTCTCCCCATTGTTCCTCAGAAATAAATTAGGTTAGGAAGAGAACCAAGAACCTGCCCCCATCTCCTCCTACCCACCGCACGGAAGAGGCAGCCAAGGTGCAGCTGCCCATACACACATATGACAGCATTTTTCCATCTTTTCTAGTGGCATCCTATAATTCTGCACAATAATTCATGCTGCCTGAACATGGGATGGTATGTGAAGAAAAGGACAGAACCATACAGCAAGAGGGCTCTTTTGGACGTGTTATCTCACTGGAAGCTGGCATTCAGAGGCCTGCTCACTCTTTTAAGTATGTGATTAGCCTGTATTGTCATTGTACCGCCCATACAAAGAAATGTCTTATTTTTGCTGTTATAAGGAACAAGCAGCAAGCCAAACACCGGATTATTAATATACGTTTTATATGTTTCCCATCAGCCTCCACCCACATTTTTTCAGCCTTCCTCATTCTTTTTCGAATCTGATATTCCTACTGCTATGTGTCAACCTGGATTCTCCATAAATAGCCTCCTATGCCACTGTTTTCTGGGAAACTACTTTGATGACTGAATCTCAGTGTAATACCCTTTTCTTTGGAATACCATTTCCGTTTTGCTGCCATCTTTAGATGGCTGTGATATTCATCATTGTTTCTCATGTGCATGCTGTCTCCTAAGTACAAAAATGACTTGTAGCTGATATGCTGATAGACTTTGAAACCTGTATTTGGGGGTGGAGGGTTGTGGGGGTGGGGGGAGTGACCTGGAGATGCTGGTGACAGAATTGCTGATAAACCTTCCAGTAAAATAATGGATGCGCTTGCTGTAGTATACTCAAAAAGCTGCCATCCTATCCATGACAGACGCTTAAATAAGTCTAAGGCCTCAGGCATAATTGTGTAAAAAGATGCCAGGCCCAAACGCCAGTGCTTCATGGCAGTGTCTGTGCAGATGGGTCTCATTAATCCTTTGGCCGGTGTATGACACACCCTTTGAGCGTGCTCTAAGTTGCTGAGTTCACTTTCAACCAGTGTCATGAACCAGGCTTCCTGCCACTCCAACACTATTCTCACCTAATACCTCCTAATTGTCTGAACCGAACCCAGGGGCCATTTGGATCAGGCTCTCCTTCTGGAAACACATGCCTTCTCTCCTGGCTTTTTAGTCCTTCTCTACTTCTTCCATGGGCTCCTAGTCTTCTGCTAACATCTAAATGCCAGCCACCTTCAGAGCTCCTGCTCGTACCTAGAGCAGTATCCAATTCATAGCTGGCCCTCATCTATTGCTGAGAGGAACACCTTTGAAAAGGAACACTGCTCCCTAACCGGTTTGGCTCAGTGGATAGAGCATCGGCCTGTAGACTGGAAGGTCCCGGGTTCGATTCCGGTCAAGGGCATGTACCTTGGTTTCGGGCACATCCCTAGTGGGGGGTGTGCAGGAGGCAGCTGGTCGATGTTTCTCTCTCATCGATGTTTCTAACTATCCCTCTCCCTTCCTCTCTGTAAAAAATCAATAAATATATATTAAAAAAAAAAAAAGGAACACTGCAAGCTTGACTGAGCTGCTCAAGCTCACTACTTAGTCACACAGTGCTGCTGCCATGCTGGATTTGGGGGCCTCCTTCCTACTGAACAATTCCCAGCATTTATGACAGGTTGTTCTTCTCTATCTCCCTTCCTGGTTCGTGTTTAACTCTGGAGAACTCAACCAGGCCTCCTTTCACAACTGGGCTGCTATGCCACAAGTCAGGTCCCTGACCAGATGGAACCAAATTTGCAGAAGCAGAAGTGCCTTTGAAGATGGGCAGGACGGGCCCCTGCCTGGGTCCTGCACTTTGGTACACGGTGCTCTGGGCCTCCTTCCAGCTCAGCTCATCCAGGGGAGCAGGACACCACTAGGATCATGGGAAGTGCTCGCCTGGAATCACCTGCCCCTTCCAAACCTTGCTGCCGTTACCTGAGACCCTGGAGTTCCCTGGCTGTGCAGTGGGCACCCCTAGGTCCCCGGGCTGACCAAGAGGAAGTGTCTGTGGGGAGTGAGAGGACAGAGAGGGCATGTGGATGGGGTGTCTGCAGGTTTTTGGGCCAAGCCTCTGGAAGAGCAGCGGGAAGGAGGGGTGAAGAGGCCGGAGTGGTGAGCAGAAACTGGGAAGAAAAGAAAAACTGCAGGTCAGCAGCTGGCTCTCCACTGTGGGGGGACTCCTAGGAGCCTGAGGGTTGTAAATTCAAACATGACCTTCCAGGTTTTATGAAGTACTACTTGCCAGGGCAGGAGAAGAAAACACATTTAGCAGTTGGTGTGTAACTTTTAAATACTTAGATATGCTAAACGGGCCTCCCATGCGGTCCCTGACTGGCCAGGCAAATGTCAGGCTGAGGCCTGGATGGGGCTAGAGACCCTGCAACCTTTGACTTCATGGTGCGGCTTGCACTGTGTGCACAGAGGTGGTTTTAAGGGGCTTGCACTGTGCACAGAGGTGGTTTTAAGGGGCTTGCACTGTGCACAGGGGTGGTTTTAAGGGGCTTGCACTGTGCACAGGGGTGGTTTTAAGGGGCTTGCACTGTGCACAGGGGGTGGTTTTAAGGGGGCTTGCACTGTGCACAGGGGTGGTTTTAAGGGGCTTGGGGCCCGTGGAGACAAAGGGCAGGGCTCAGGACGGTGTGTCCTTTCACTCTGTTTACCGACTGGGCACTTTCTGGGTGCGGGCCAAGCAGCGGGCTCTGCAGGCCTCCCCCGCTCCTGGTCCCGCTCCTGGCCCCGACCCTCCAGGAGGGGTTTTCTCAGGGGCGCGCGGCGGGGACAACCGGCAGGAGCTGCCACCCCGAGGC